TGCACCTATCTAAACCACTAGTTCCTAACCTCGGGTCTCCAGAAGTCTGTGGACTACAGGGCCCAGAGATCCTGGCCAACACAGCTAGGGATGAAAAGGCTTCTGGGAGTTGCAGCCGAAGCATGCCTGGGGGACCAAGCTGGGGAACGGCTGACCTAAAGCCATCTCTGCTCCCTCTTCTCACATGGCCTCCTTTCAACTCTCCGCTCGTCAAGGTGCACCTAACGGACTAATTCAGACCATCCGGTAGGACCAAAGCAACAGTAGCTGTGCTTGAAAACGACGCAAACAAAGGCAGGCCTCCCGTGGCGCGGCAGGACGAGGGCACCAGAGGAGCCGGCCTTACCTGGCCGGATCATCCAGGAAGGCAGCCTCTTGGCAAGCCAGGATGTGCAGGATAAACCTCGCACACGCTCTAGCTGCAAATCTAGGGTGGGCCGTTCAGCGGCTCGAATGACCTTTCCATATGTCACAGTCTCCCTGCGAGGCAGCCAATGGCCTCCCTCTTCCCCCAAATCCAGTTTCAGAAGAAGACACTGGAAGCTGTACCCATGGAATGGGGGTGAGGGGAGGGAGGGAGGAGAGAGCCCCCTGCCCTGCTCTCCCTGATGGGTGGGCCAGACCGTCCCATTCTCTGGGGATGCAGACTCAGGGTGTGTGCAGTATTTGCTGATGGGGAAAGCTGTAGAGTTGTGCGATGGAACTGGGGGGGGAGGAAGTGGTGGCAAGAAGACGGCACCTTCTTTGAAAGGAGACTCTCCTCTGTTCTGGAGGGAAACATGTGGGCAGCAGTTGTGCCCATTGGCTATCTGTGAGTCCCAAATGCTGCTGGCAAAAGTATGTGTCGTGTGTGCATGCGTGCGTGTGAGCAAACGTGGAGGCACAGGGTCTCTCTCTGCAGTCTCACGTCAGAAGAGTGAACAAACACCCATGCGATCACGTTCCGAATGCCTGGAAAATGCCTGTTTTTCAGCCTCTGACCAGAAGCTCACATACTGTAGCAGCCCCATCCATCCCCAAGAGACCAGCAAAGCTAGCACCTCTTGGCAAAACCCAGGACA